CCATAACGACCGCGAAGAGCAAACTTACTTTCGAGAAATTGCAAGTCATACAGCCACACAAATACCCACCCGAATGAATTATCCCCTGAAGCTCTCTCTGAAGGCCATTAAAAAGTCATACAAAGACCATAAGCCACCTACACATTACCGTAAATAAAAATATCGAAAAATCATAGCGACAAAGCAACACAAAGATTCAGAATTTACCATCGATGGGGTTGAAATGTACTTGACTCGAGCACCGTCGAGAATACCCGTAGCCAATAGCTTCTTCACATTAGATGGGTAGCAGCTACTAGAAACAACAATCTTCTTCGGCACCTTCACATCCCACCCGGAAGCAACATCCTCCTCCAAAGCCTCATCCTTTACCACGGGTAAATCGTCAAAATCGTTCTTTCGTTTACTCAACTTAAACGTGATTCTAGTGATTCCAGTCGAGCTAAGATGCTTTGGAATCTCCAACACAAAACGAGATGCTAACACATCACTCAAGTGCTCAGTTGGAGGGCTACCTGTTGCTGCTACGGATGCGTCGTTTCCGCTGCTAATAGTCTCTTCAGACCCGAAATCAACCTCACCGCACTCGACCGGATCACCTGAACCAGATTTAACCGGGTGGCTAGAGACATCGCGAAAAAGAGACGTGCTTTCTACCGGGGATGCGACGGGATTCGAAATCTCCGATATAATGTCATCGTTAGAAGACTCTTTCGCTTGTTTCTTACTGGGAAAATGGTCTCCTTCTCCGGTATAATCACGCTCTCTCTTCAGTTCCACCATTGTTGATGGTGGGTTCTCTTCCAAACAAACTGTTTCTTCTCCCATAAAGAGAAATGCTCAATCTCGCACGATAGCATCCAATACAAACAGGAGTTTAGATCTGGAAACCTTCAATATCGTTCGTGAGAGCAATTCCAAAATCCAAACCACGGTGGTTCCACTAGAATGGTTATTCTAGATTCCAATCCGATTTGAGGAAGAAACTTTCAGAGGAATCAAATTAAACCCGGAAAAAATGATGAAATTGAAAGAAAACAAAAGCAATTGATACGAGGAATCAGACAAGAGTAAGGTTCGTGTAGAATCAAGAACAGAGGTTTGAAATATTACGGATCTAGAGAAGATCTGAAGAAAATGAAACGGAAATTCGAAATTTGGATGGAGAAAAGAGGAAGGGTGAAGAAATTTAGGGTTAGGGTTACGGCTATGAGATAAGATTG